TCATCACAGAGGCGTTACATTGTACCACATCTAATATAAAAAGAAAATACGTGAAAACAATATTCCAAGTTTAGATAACCTTGTATAAAATATCAAACATCATAACGATGGATTTTCATTTTCAGGCAGACAGCGATTTAAGGACGGTAGACGTCGCGCCACGCATGCGCGAGATATACGGATTTCATATAAACAAAGATGACGAGGTACAAACTGAGACGTTACGAAGCTTTAATTAGGTATTTTAGGTGGTTGGAAAGTATCGAGCGAGTCATCAGCGGTAATTATTGTAAGGTGGCACCAGGTAAAACCTCATACTTGTGATTTCCATTAGAAGAGCGCATTGGATTGTGTGGAAAACAATGTTTCTCAATACAAATGTCTGAGTCCGAATATTAAGACCAGTTTCCCTTTCACATGCCGCTGCACGGTGAGCAGTGTCATTTGGTCACCGAAAAAGGAACACGAGGGGTGAAAATAATACGATGTGTATGTATATATGAATTTACCAATTGTTGATTAAATCTGTACTTGTTTGTTATGTATGTTATGATTTAATATATAGTGCAATGTATATACTTTAATCATTTGTATTTAGGCTTACTACAAGTTATCTGTAGTTTATCGCTTATAAAGCCCTTTTTAAAAACCGTCAATAATGGCGTCATTTTTGTTTGAGTTGTGAAACAATTTATGTGAGTATAAAAATGTGATATAATTTTTAATTTAAACTGCTGTGCTAGTGTTTAGTAACTAATATGCAATGTTTACAAGTAAGAATTAATTGCACAATCTAGTATAGTCTTTGAAATGTGCAATTGATTTAGCTGACATGTATGTTACTCATGATAAGATTTCAGCAACGTAAATTACATTCACGATTTTGACCATTTTCCAATGAACGTCAAAGAATGTTGTTGTTGAATTTAGTTTAACTATTAATACATTTTGTAATTTTTGATATTAGATTATATTCTGTATTTTTAACCAACTCTTACAGTATTTATTTGAGTTGATTAGTTACATTTATTATGCCCTGAGTAATTATTATTTTCTATGCATAGATACATTACTTTGATAGTGAGGTATGGTTTATTTCGTTCACTCAAAGCGATTTCATTTGTATGCATATTTAAGAGCGTGTCACTTGTATTCCCTAAAATTCAAAAGAATTGTTGATTATAAACTTTTGAATGGTGCATTACATACATTGTTTAATGCACGTTATATTTCTAATACATAAGTATATTAATAAAACAGAACAGTGCTGCAGAACAGTTCATTACTTTCATGTCATACGTTTTCAGTGAATAGCAGACTGTTAAGTTAGATAAAGTGGCACAACGTGACACGACTAGACAATCATCCACATATTAAAAACCAGGTCCATACAGTGGCACTAAATGTTTTAACTCATGATTATTATGTTATTTATGACAATTTTTATTACGCAATACCGAAACAAACATTATAATAGACATGATAACTGTTTGCCAGTTATTCAACAAATGGTTCAGTTGAGTCTTCAACAATACCAAAACTATAATTGATTGTTACATAATAAGTTATGAAATCTTGTAAATGTTTACAATTTCTTTTCACAAAAACAATGAAAAAAGACAATACCGTTTTGATTTTTGATTTGTAGAACAACTGAACTGAGTTTGTGTGTCAAGATGTTCAAGGATATTCACATATTTGTGTGGGTTTTGGTTACTACACGACCAATCACATAACAGAACGTCAAGATATTGATGGATGATTCACAATGTACAATTGCGTGTTACAAGATATTGCTACACACACTGATGCAAAGACCACACATAAACTAAATTATAAAGTATTATGCACAACGATACGCGATGTATGCATATGTAAAATCAATCAACCAAACAATAAAAAAAACGGCTACACCGGCTGAAACATAATGCTAGAAAAATTGTTTTAACTAAATAATATTTAATTAAAAAAAGTTCTCTCGGAATAATAAATCACTGTCCGAATCGGAAATATTCAGTGGAGTTTGTGTGTATGTGCAATTTCACGTTACCAGGTGTTCTTCTGTGTTTTTAATTATTTACTGTCGTGAAATATTCAGGCAAGAACTACCGGCGATGCACGGCTATGCTTTCATTGTGCAGACTCCCCAATGTAGACTTGCACAAGATAGGCATCAATGTTTTGGCAGACACCTTGTTGTAGACAGTTCGCCAAGCACAGGCACAAACTTTTCCCCGTTAAACCCAACATGAATCACAAAAGTAAAATGGAATATCATTTGTGTGCATTTGTGCTGTGTGCAACAACACAAAAGATTTATATAGTAAGAAGCCGCTGCACTATAATATGCACACGTGATGTTTCAATCCTCCAATCAGCGGCCTCCATATGGAGTTACATTTCATCAGGTTATAAAATGGGGAAGTTGTCATATATAAGAATGCGGCACACATGGGAATGAAAAACTGTCAAAAACACAAACGGCAAAGTTTGAATAACACTAGATAAACACTCAAAAGATCCAAAGATATTATATTTACTTTCCTATTCAACTCATTTTTAGACATTTGTTGGGACATTGTAGTTTGCAAAATATAACGACCAACGTCTCGGCGTGGCACACAAGCGTACTATTGAGATAATACAAAATTAGCTTGAAAAGAAACCCTCTCAGATCTGCATGTGAAACGTAAGGGCAAGGGTTATTTTCGTTCAACGTAATTGCAATATTTTTTTTTTCGTACAACGTAAATAGAAAAAATAAATTCCGTAATTATGTAATCACAGGCTAGACGTACAACGTAATCAATCAAATATTTTTTTCGTACACTGTAAAAATGTGCAATTTTTTACGGTACGTACAAGAATTTACATCCAAATAACAAAATCGTAAACAATAATCCAGGAAAATTACATTTTAGAAACTGTAAAACGACTAGATGACAAAATTCACTACAAAATTGAATGTCAAGACGTAAAATGCCCTCTAACCGAATGAAGAGCATAACGAGGGTAATATGCGCATGCGTCTCTAAACACGGCGCAGTAATGGAATTTGAGTCGGAGAGCTCTTCGGACCATTCAATGTTCCATTTTTTAACACATTAAACTGTAAAAACGTCTTTTTTTCCTTGTAAGTTGTAAAAAACCCTTTTTATTTTCCGTAAAACCGTACCAGCTACCCCCTTGCCTCCCTTCATAATACAAATAGAAAAAAAGTAAACAGAGAATTTAATGAAAGACTAACAAAAATAAAATACAGTAGTCAATAGTTACATCACCACCAGACACTATAAACAATGAAATCAAAACAGGAATAGTTTATTCAATTCAAAATAGAAAGTAAAATCAACCCAAAAAATGATTACACAGTGAAAATAATGAGGACTTTTTTCCCTAGTAACCCAGTACGTATTAGAATAACGTAATCTACCTTAGGTCGTACAATTATTGATTGTGATACTCTGAACAGTTTTTGTAACAAAATATTATGCTAATAGTATTTTAATCGCATACACTGCACACCGGAAAACCAGGCTGTCCCGAAAACGCCACAATTCCTACAGGGTCCTATTTTAAGACACCAGCAATTTGAATGTAGTGTTATTATTGTGGCTTTCAAATACACTACGTCTGCCAAACCGCTAGGATAAATGTTCTTTCCATTTTTCGCCCCAAATGCGGTCGAAGTTAGATAAAATTGTCACTTTGCTAAATACACTTATTTAATTAAGGTCCTGTGAGGCATGACATCACCATGTCACGCTTGCAATGTAACAGAACATAAACACAAATCGATTCATACAATCAATGATAATTATATTATTCTCTTTGGTAACATATGCAACTTGCGCACACTAACTAAATGATAATACAATATTCGATGATAAACAATAGGTAACACAGTGATACACGGAACAAAACCATTCAATCAAGTATTCGCAGGGCAATGTTATCAAACTTGTCACACAAAGTAATTTTCACTAAAACCGTAACCCTGAAATGAGTCGTGCACAAGTAAATATGGTTCAAGCAACTTTCAAACCGATAAGTTGTTTTTTTTCTTGAAAAAGATTAAACGATCCAGACAAAATTCAGATTGCAATGACAAACAGACAATCCCACTACTAGAAATTCTCATAATCTGACCCTTGGCCGGCTGGTGACACGTAAAATCTTTAAAATGTATATTGAAAATAAAATATCATCTCGATAAACAGTGGCTTGCAGAAAATTGGCTAATTACACACATCTACACAGTTTCATAATATTTAGTAACCCGAGGTAACATTGTAAATGTTCATACAAAGAAAAAAATGGAAAAGTAGACATTAAATCAAATAATGTGAACGTCTTCTGTGACGCAGTGATAATTAATTTATATATTTACAAGGGTCCGTATTTTTACATTATAAGAAATGTGTCTCAAAATACTATTGAGATGTCTTCAGAAAAAAATCTGAGGCATACTATTATAATACTATAATACGTCATTTAAAATTTAAATACTATGTATAAAGATTCAATGTATATTCAATATATGTATGAAGTATTTCAGCTTCACTTAATTAAATAGAGCATGCAGAATGCTTGTTAATTAAGTCACTAGGTTTGTAGGAACTGAAATTGTAAATATTCATTTACCGTCAGCCGAGCATTAAATTTAATTGCAGGACACTGTTGTCCCGCAAATCGATAATCCAATTAAATGAATGTGCGTTGCGCCAATTACACCCATTTTAGGGTGGTTGTTTAAAATTAGCATTAGAAATGCACATCCTCTTCACCACCGAAATCAATTCCTGACTGAGGGAGTAGGGATTTGCTCGTCATGTTTGACTAAGGTTATAGTTAATGTCTAGATATTGAATAAGGTAACGGTTTTCAGTTTGTGCAGTGACTTCAATACTAATTGAATGTCAACGAAACCAAATATAATACAAGTTTTCCGTTTTTCGCTGAATGTATTTAAGGACAAATAAACTTCGCCGTCCACTCACTCATTGGTCGTAGTGATACCCGAATAGTTTGTTGAATAGTTTAGCAACCTCGTTCTCACTGTGGCTAATATTCACAGCACCTATATCACCGATGTCATCAAACTGAAGCGAAGTTAGTTGACGTAATTGACTAATACCATTTGGCAGTGACTGTAGATGATTTCCATTAAACTTGAAAAAACGTAATTGCTTCAGATTTCTGACATTGGGCATTGATATCAGTTTATTGTTTTCAAGATATAATTGCTCTAGATTTATTAGATTGCTAATGGAAGCAGGTAATGATGACAGTTGATTACGGTCCGCACGTAATGACCTGAGCTGCAGCAGTTTTCCAATACTATCTGGTAATTGTTCGAGTTCGTTACTTTGCACATCTAACGTTGTCAAATTATGTAGTTCACCAATGGTTTCAGGCAAACTCTTTAATTTACAATTGCCCACTTCTAATAATTTAAGCTCTTTCAGATTCCCGAGGCTATCAGGTAACTCCAGTATTGCGTTATTAAACACGGATAGTTGAACGAGCTGCTGTAGATTACTAACCCCGCTAGGAAAGGATTTAAATTTATTATTTGGCAAAACCAAGCGTTTTAAATGATGTAGATTACCGATCTTATCAGGTAATGACTTCAATGAATTATGCCCCACATCCAAGTTTGTCAGACGCTGTATATTACATATGCTATCAGGTAAAGACTCCAATCTATTAGTGCTTATATTCAAGGTAGTAAGTTGGTGTACATTGCCGATGCTGTCAGGTAAAGACTGAAAGCTATTAGTGCTTGCATTCAAGGTAGAAAGTTGGTGTACATCGCCGATGTTGTCAGGCAAAGACTGCAACGTATTATCATGCACATCCAAGTTAGTAAGTCTGTGAGATTACCGATGCTATCAGGTAAGGACTTTAACCTATTATTACGCAAATCCAAGTTAGTAAGTTGGTGTAGATAGCCGATGATGGCGGGTAAAGACTCTAATCTATTAGTGCCCACACCCACGTAAGTAAGTTGGGGAAGATTGCCGATGCTATCAGGTAATGATTCCAATATATTATTATGCACATCCAAATAACTAAGTTGGAACAGATTGCCGATGCTATCAGGTAAAGATTTCAATCTATTATTATGCACATCAAAGGTAGAGAGTTGTTGTAGATCGCCAATGCTGTCAGGTAATAAATTCCAATCTATTAGAACCCACATCCAAAGTAGAAAGTTGATGTAGATCGCCGATGGAATCAGGAAGTGATGTAAGAATATTAAAATTCAGGTTTAGATGCTGCAACTGTTGTAGCTTGCTTACAGTATTTGGCAAAGTGGACAATTTGTTTGTCTGTAATAGTACTTTGCGTGCATGCTGGATATATTGTCAAAAGTTCCTCTGGCACCGCGGTTAGTTCCAGGTTATGTGCATGAAATATCTTAGTTTTTTCATTCCATGTCGGGGATATAGTTCCAGAATATGGTCCTACAAACAAAATATATTAATTAATATAATGGGACTCTGGGATGAAGTATACAGTCGCAGTGTGTATAATGTCCATGATTAGAAAGCATATCCACGCATTTCACACTAGCGGGTGATGTTATTAGTAAGATGAAATAATGCTGTGGCATGGTGGTATACGCCGCCTGTGTAAGGTTATGTGCTAAAACTTCGAAAGCAAAATGTTGAATTCATCTTGCTAATTTCAAAAGAAAGGTTAATGATTTCATTTTATTCATTTAATCCATTTTTTCAAATCTAATATTAAAACAATTCATCATAATACTTTTCACATCACAATGAGTGATAACCATTCCAATTTAAGTTGTTATAAACTCTATTTCGAATTTCTAAACGTTCACGTCGTCTTTCAATAGAAAGATGTAATAGAGAAGAATTAAATCGAGATGGTTGGAACAGTACAAAGTTATCAACTGCAATTTATTAGTGAAATAATAGTGCATGCCAATGTAATAGCTTTATCAGGGCTACGATCTGGTAGCGACAACGTGCCGATTATCATCTACAATAGTTTGTGTTTTGGGCATTCATATTGCTTATTACGTAATATTGTAAACATACCTTCATCTTTAGTTAGTTTATTCAATGCATGTTGAAGAAGTTGGTGTTGCCCAGATTTTATATCTAATGCATCTACGTCTTCTTTTACCATTGCTTGTAAAGCAGGAATACTGTCATAGCCTCCTTCTAGAAGAACGTCAATCGTTGAAGTCAGTAAAGAATGACTTTGCCCCCATCGCCTAATTTCACATTCTGCCATGCTTGATCTGTCAGTTTCTGTCATGTAACATGAAAAACTAATTTATTTGAAATCAGACCACAAATCTATTTATAACTAATCATTGATGATATGGAGAAGTCAGTTAGTTCGCTTAAACATAACCAATGAACAATTAATTAAAATTAATCGCTTTACTTATATATTCTTGAATGTAATGTACCAGTATACATGCAGTGGTAAAATATCTATACATATATCCCGCCAGAACTATTTGATAAGATTAAAGTTTACCATGCGACCTACATTTCTAACCCAATCTGCCCATGTGCATATATATGAGAAAGTCCGAAGATTTGTTGCAGCGTAAATTATCGCATGCAAATATGAAATTTATAGTATAATTCAGTGAAATGTATGCAGGTTTACTAATATACTATTTATATGAAGTCCTAAATATATGTTCAGCATAATGTACTTATATATATATATGAAGACTTTCTATATGAATGCCTATATTCATGTATTTTACTGACTTGTGTGTAAATTACCAATTTAATATCTACATCATGACCTATACAATATGTATACATGTATTAAATAATGTAATAGCTGCGTGCAAATTGAACAATTAATGTGTTCGTACCTTTTACATCATCAGCAACCATAATTTGTTCCTGTGAAATAAACAAATTGCATTTGATGCTACCTCAGATTTGTCACATTTCATGTCGAACCCCTCAATTCTTCAATTTTAGACAATATTTCTCCTAGTATCAACTTCTTAAAAAATGCCTGATTGCCGTGATAGTTTACGTGTTGTATCCGTATAATTGTTATGTATCCAAATCCGTAGCATTTAATCTAATCTATACATATTCCATAATCTGCGCATGAGTAGGTCATAATGTTTACACTTTGCATATATTCATGTATCATTGGATTACAAATTAAATTTAAAAAAAAAATTTAGACAGAAGGTCACTTCCTGCTTCTATTGAGATAACGGAAATTATCATACAGCTAAGACTGAAGACAAAAAGGTTTGCCGTTCTGTAAAAAGCTGCATTCTCATGGAAACCTAATATTATTGCACTGAAATATGGGATGGTATAATTGTATATTATTATGTTACCTCAGAATCAGACTCCCGCATAGATTTGCTTTTGTTTTTCATTTTCAGCTGATTTTCTAATTTCTGTATGTGAATCGTCCTTTCACTTAATACTGTGATATGTTTTTGATCACACTCTTGCTGTACTTGTTTTAGTTGGTCGTTGATGATTTTTTTCAGCTTCCAAGCTGTTAATCATCTTCTGCTTTGCTTCCACTTCATATTTTAGTGCAGATACATCATGTGTATTGCTTCTTTCTTGGTCGCCTAGCTTCTGCTGCAGATATTGGTTTGATGAATTACGAAGTGTAAGACGGTCTTTTCCTAATTGCTTCATTCTTCGATCGATCACGTGTTCTCCGAATGAGCGTATGTCCTTTTGGCTTGGTAGTCTCGTGAAATGTGGGTTCAATGATTCCAGGACTTTATGATTCACCAAACGTTGTTTTCGTCCCATAGAAAATATTTTTTCCAAGCTTTCAAATTCTAAAAATAAATGAGAATACATTGTCAAAGTAATGATGAACCCATGTTAAATACATCTGAAATAAAAACAACATCACATGCATGTGTCCGATCAGATTATAAACGCTGTATGGCCTGTCAACATTGGGACACTAATCACTAAGTTGTTTAATGTAATTTCATTTGTTTAAATTTGAGTTATACATCTACTATCGAAGTACTGCGCAACATACCTTTAAAATATCGTTCACAGTCTTCAAACTGCTTTGGATCCACATTGACAGATATTTCAATGTCTTCAGCGTTCATGATTTCTTTCAATTTGGCTGTAACTAAGACAGGGGTTAATAGTTTGCCCATCTTACCGGATTGTACACCTTTCTTTAAAACTCTCAGGCTTGACATTCTTCGACATCTCACAATAAATTTTACGCTAGACATCTTAATTTCAATCAAGTGAACTTTAAATTTATCCATTATTTCTTGGATTTGTTTCATTTTTTCATTTGCTGATGATGGGTTTGCTTTGATTTTCTTCATTTGTTCACAAAATGCCGCCTGATGTACATCACTCACTTTAACAAGGAGGGTTATATCTGCAGTAAAATTATTATATAGTTATTATATAGTTACCTGTGTCTAGGTGTCATACTACAATGAAACTTTAATATAGACAACAGTGCAAAAGCTTATAATTAGTTGAGTACCAAAAGTACGCGTAATTAAGCCATCTAACACCTTGTCCATGATTGGTAGTTAACTATAAGAACAAGTTAATGATGTATAATGAAACATCATTAAACCTGATACTGTAACTGAAGTATAGAATAAATTGCACACTTTGCGGTATGCTTGTAATGATATTGTTATACATCGCCCCGATCCAACTTTTACTACGCCAATAACAATTTTTAAGATGAACAATGATGTATAGTGCTAGTGTCCGATTTACACGCTTTTGTGTAATTTACGAAATTATCCTTTTGTAAAATAAGTAAGAAACATGTACGATAAAGAGTAATATTGTTATTTACCAAAACACGGCATCTTGAAATATGATATGTTTCCTTCGTCAGAGCGTTGTTTTAATTCTGTAAATGTTGAACAAATTATCATTATTCTACATATGATTTGAATGGACAAACGTGAACTGACGTGAGCAGGTACAGAGTAAAAGTCATTATTATACATCTGTCACAGTAACGCCATAAGTTACAGTGTGCCGTAATTTTGCGGTATTTTACGGAGTATTTTCATGCTAACATATTAGGAAATGCGAATTCCACGTATGGAATGACTACCCACGTAAGCGTCCCCTAATAATAAAAACAAATATGGCTGCCACCAGAGTTTGACCGAACTCCACACAAAGAAGTTCGCTGATTCTGTTCTAAACATTTTGAATTTCGGCATTCCAATGGTGTATCCTTGGAAGAAAAAGATGTATAATAATAAGGTTATTACGAGAATACCTCGAATTATGCACTCAGACAGTACGCCGCGCATCGATCTCCGCTGCGCGTCGGTCGATTCTCCAGCTGCACTTTCTTCGTGCATACTTATTCTCGTATTCTCGTAATAAACTTTTTTATTATACATCTAACCTCATGATAACCTGTGTCACAATGTTACACACCTTGGCAGTGGTTATTTGCATATTCCTGAGTTTCATTGACCAGATCTCGTTCCAGATTCAAAGAACTTAACTAATTCGGCTACGTTATCAACTCTTACCAATCCAGCATCTTTGAGCGCTAGTATTAGTTGCGATGCGTGTTGACATTGTTCAATAACAGTACGGTCTATGATATCATGACACAACGACTTCAATTTGTACATTGTATCTGTAAATCATTAGACAAAACAGATTCGGTGGTGAATCGTAGAGCTTTTACTAGATATGGTAAATGTGTGTACGATTATAATGTTAATTAATTAACTACTCAAGCAACAACAAAAATATATTAACATTAAGTTAGAACTTGTATTATCTTTTTGTCTGGGATAAATCCACCGTAATGTTGGACCTAGAGACCAATGAAATTGATTTGTGTGATTCATGCTAGGGAGATGAGTTAAAGTATTAAAAGATCCAGAGCACGGGATTATTTACCCGATCTAACATTAAACACACTCATATATAGACGTTTTAGACATGAATCAGTAAGTCTATGAAAATTTCGTTCTGGGGTAAAGTCACGTGCACAATTCAGAAATAGCTTTGGACAATTATTCTGAAAGCGTATTCCATTTCATTAGGAATTGTATATTGAGTACAATCTGATTATATTGACGCATACATACTGCCTTCTATTGCTGTAGATAAGTTTGACAAACAGGTAGTTGAATCGCATTGTTGCCATACGTTTCAAATTCGCTAGAAATGTTCGGCTTGTTGGTTCTCGTGTAGTTAGATTATCCAAAGCCCGTAGAAGAAGACGGCGTTGTCCTAGTTTCATTGATATTTAATGCATCTGCATCTTGTTTCTCCATTACTTGTAATGCAGGTATACAGTCAAAACCTTCTTTAAGAAGGGCATCAATCGTTGACTGCTTTAAATTATTTTTGTGTCCCCATCGTCTGACATCAGATTCACCGATTAAATCTTGATTCGTTTCTGCATTACTGGACCCCTTGTCAGGTTCCATTGCTATATAATTTAAAAAGCATTTATTTTATCTGAAGTAACTCATAAAAACACTTATATCATCAAAAATGTGTATCAGCTCTCTACATCTTGGATGTTTCCACAAAGGGTAACTCCTTCCATTATTCGCCCTGATATGCACACAATCATCAATGATTATTACTGCTGTGACTAGCTGTTTGGGACGCCCTTTTAATTTCCTTACTATTAATACAATATCAAAACCCAAAGAATGAACGGACCGCAACAAAGAAAAACATATTTCCCTGTACACTCATATAGAACAGTAGTAGTTCTTCGCTGTTCTCTTTTCGATCCGCCTGTGACCCGAGTCACGTGGTCAGGGAAATCCCCTACTTGGATCTCTTCTTGCTCGACGGCGTGCAACTTAGGGTGTACTTCTTTATTTAGTACATGCCACGTTTCCAAGTACATTGGCACCGTCTTTGCCGTATACATCATACCGTTCTCCAATCTTCCTTAGAATAACATAGCTATGAAATAAAGATATTCTTTTAAATGTTCTGGCAATGAAGATCACAATGTACTATAGAACATGAATGTTCAATTGTCAGTGTACTTTGATTATATCAAACTGCGCTTATTAATGCGTTGAACTGATTTTGAGTATTATCAACTTTATGCACAGGTCAAGTGATCAACAGCGCGAGTAGTCAAAAGGCTACAGCGTTGCAGCTGATAATTCCATGCAGGGGGACTGCCCTATGTTCCGAAACAAAGTATACTTGTGTCAAACTCAAACTGACTAGCTCTATGCGGCCACAAGTAATTATAATGCACATGATACCCTGCGT